AATACACGGCTAAGAAGAGTTAATTCTAACAGCAAAAAACATAGCAAAGAAAAAGAAAATAGTTTTCTGAATTTGAAGGGGAAAAAAAGTTAATTAATCCACGGTAAGCAGATCACAGCAAGCACATACTCAAATCGACAATGAAGCTGTTAAAAATGTCTTAGATTGTGGTAATTTAGTCTCAAGAATGAGCAACAATGGTGACTCCCCGAAAGAAGACTCTGTTTAGCAGTGCAGAGACTAAAGAGCATCAACAAGCCATGAATCATCACCTGTAAGCGGCGTGACAGTTTTCAGATCATGCGTCTGTCTAGTGGAAACTTATGGATGTGAGTCGGGGACTCTCGCTCAATCAGTGATGAACTCTCGCCCAATCAGTGATGAACTCTTGCTCAATCAGTGATGAACTCTCGCTCAATCGGGATGAACTCTCGCTCAATCAGTAATAACTCTCACTCAATCACTGATGAACTCTCGCTCAATCACTGATGAACTCTTGCTCAATCACTGATGAACCCTCGCTTAATCACCGATGAACTCTCGCTCAGTCACTGATGAACTCTCGCTCAACACTGATGAACTCTCGCTCAATCACTGACGAACTCTCGCTCAGTCAGTGACGAAATCTCGCTCAATCACTTATGAACTCTCGCTCAATCACTGATGAACTCTCGCTCAATCACTGATGAACTCTCGCTCAATCACTGATGAACTCTCGCTCAATCACTGATGAACTCTCGCTCAGTCAGTGACGAACTCTCGCTCAATCAGAGATGAACTCTCGCTCAATCACCGATGAACTCGCTCAATCACTGATGAAATCTCGCTCAATCACTGATGAACTCTCGCTCAGTCACTGACGAACTCTCGCTCAATCAGTGATGAACTCTCGCTCAATCACCGATGAACTCGCTCAATCACTGCTGAACTCTCGCTCATAACTGATGAACTCTCGCTCAGTCAGTGACGAACTCTTGCTCAATCAGTGATGAACTCTCGCTCAAACAGTGATTAACTCCCGCTCAGTCAGTGACGAACTTCTGCTCAAACAGTGATGAACTCCCGCTCAATCAGTGAAAAACAAAAAGCAGAGCCTTTAAACTGAAATGTTACAATAAACCTCTAAGAAGATGGGCCATGAAGGAAAGCTCAGACAGCGTACAGGATCTTCGCGAAGATGAACACCAGACACTGAAGAAACATTGGCTAACAAAGCACACAGGGCTGTAGATGTGGCTAGAGAACGAGAGAGTATCGGGAGCACCGTGACGAGAGCGACCTTTTGTAAAGGAATTCGTAATTGATGACGACATGATGAACTTAACAATACAGCACACTGATGATCATGGGAATCCAGTCACAAATAAATACGCTCAGAATAAATAACGGTACCCTTACATTAATTAGGCACTCAAAAACATGAAAATAAATGCACAAATCATAGAATGATGAATGCAAGCATAAGTCACTAAAAGAAATGCAGCCAAGTGAATCATTGTAGAGCATGACAGAAGACATTTTCTATGATCTTGGGCTTCTTTGAAGAAAATAGATGTACACAAATTAGGCCAGATCGCAGGTAAAACACCTGGGCTGCTTTGTTCTGAAACAATCAAGTAACTTTTCTTTTTTTTTCAAGTTGACGAGTTATGCAAGATTATGTTTGTACTGCGCTTGACAGAATTATGCTTTTGGCGCGCACAAATTTCCAACGCTATGAATTTTATTCGCTTTGAAGCTTTTGCATAATCATCTTCATCATCACTATCACCACCATCATCACCATCGTTTTGAAAGAAGCCATTTCCCCGTGTGGGGTTCGGGGCCCCATTTTGGAGAAAACAAGAACAGACCCACTGCCTACTCAACAAGCATGTCGTAGGAGTTGACTAATTGGGAGCTTCCTTTGAAGTCAGGATGCATTTACCTGAGCGGACAAGGAACAACCAGCTGTACACAAATAAGCTAGTAAAACGGATGTACACACAAAACCCAGGCCCTGGCACAAAGCCAAAGTGCAAATGCAAGAACATCTAGGACTTTCCACCCGGAGCTTATAACCGGTGAATACAGAAAAAGAAGAAGAAGAAGTAGACGAAAAATAAGATTATATATACATATATCTTCTTTGTCTTCTTCTTCTCTTCTTTTTTTCTTCTGTATTCACCGGTTAAAAGCTCCGGTGGAAAGTCCTAGATGTTCTTCAATGTATACACACACACATACACACACACACGCGAGCACACACACACACACACATCAGTATTGAAAGATATTCTTTTGATAAGTTTTTCGTGAGCAACATATGTTTCCGACTCTATAGACATGGGATAATTTTTTGAGTTATAGTAAATCAAACAGGGGGTTTGGCAGATGAAGTCCTAAGAAGAAAGATTGCTTGCTCCCTTCCGGATGTGTGTTTGTTCAGTATTTCATGTTTTGGTATGATGATTTTCAGAACAATAGAAAGCTCAGGAGCTGAGACGAGGTCAACGATGGATATATTTAGCAAGGCTGCTCGCCTCCCATTGGCCAGCAAGAAATAGGTAAGCTCATATTTCTTGTTTTATTAGGTAAGAAAATCATTGGTATCCTTCCTAATCGTTCATCGCTATTGTGCACCCAACAGGTTTATGTACGAAACAGTTTTATCCACACACACACACACAAAAAAAACTATCTTTATTTGGGATAGTGATTTCGGTCATAAGCATGAGAAAAAAGATCATTCTGCTGTATATAAAGGGGATATGGTGCACCTGACCTCAGATACCACCAGGCTCTCTGTTGTTTTACGGAACCTCATACAAGACACCTGCCACACCTCCTCGTCGTGCGCAACGACTAACGGACTATAGTGGCCTAAACCTGGATGGCAATGGATCTCAGAGCGGGTGGCCTCTAGAGATGCCCCGAAAACATCCGGCACCCACCACTCCACTCCTAATACATGGGTCGTAATCTCAGTTGATTGGCGTATGTGGCTTGGGCGTGGCGAACGCACTTCCTAACGCCGGGGTGCCGGGTTTGATTCCAGCTGCGGACGATTTGTCTTGCGTTGGTTTTGACAGTGCTACCTGAGATTTGACCGTTCAAGCAGTGGCAAACTACTGAACGTACATTTTGCCTAAAAAAACTACAACAGTAAAAAAATGCTGGGGTTGGTGCTGCGACGTCATGTAAAGGATACGCAACCAACTAATGTCTTTCGAACGCTCGTTTGGAAAATATGTGAAATCCACTGGCCGAGCCACCTGTCAAATTACACACTCGTTGGTTCAAATGTCTTTCGATCGAGTCCTACCAAAAGACAACATTCTACTTGATTATACAAAGTCGAAGTCCATAACACAGCTGAAGTTTAGAACACAGCCAAAGTCTAGAACACAGCCGAAGTCCATAACACAGCCGATGTCTAGAACACAGCCAAAGTCTAGAACACAGCTAAAGTCTAGAACACAGCTAAAGTCTAGAACACAGCCGATGTCTAGAACACAGCCAAAGTCTAGAACACAGCTAAAGTCTAGAACACAGCCGATGTCTAGAACACAGCTGAAGTCTAGAACACAGCCAAAGTCTAGAACACAGCCAAAGTCTAGAACACAGCTAAAGTCTAGAACACAGCTAAAGTCCAGAACACAGCCAAAGTCTAGAACACAGCTAAAGTCTAGAACACAGCCGATGTCTAGAACACAGCTGAAGTCTAGAACACAGCCAAAGTCTAGAACACAGCCGAAGTCCATAACACAGCTAAAGTCTAGAACACAGCTAAAGTCTAGAACACAGCCAAAGTCTAGAACGCAGCCGATGTCTAGAACACAGCCAAAGTCTAGAACACAGCTAAAGTCCAGGACACAGCCAAAGTCTAGAACACAGCCAAAGTCTAGAACACAGCCAAAGTCTAGAACACAGCTAAAGTCTAGAACACAGCCAAAGTCCAGGACACAGCCAAAGTCTAGAACACAGCTGAAGTCTAGAACACAGCTGAAGTCTAGAACACAGCTGAAGTCTAGAACACAGCTGAAGTCTAGAACACAGCTGAAGTCTAGAACACAGCCAAAGTCTAGAACACAGCTGAAGTCTAGAACACAGTCGAAGTCCAGGACACAGCCGAATTCCAGAACACAGCTGAAGTCTAGAACACAGCCGAAGGCCAAAACACGGCTGAAGTCTAAAACACAGTCGAAGTCTAGAAGAAAACAGCAAGAATTTCTGCCGTAGTTTACAAACAAACAAATTGTAAGACTGTGCGATATTTACCCGTCTAACATATTTGTAAGTATCACATTGGCCCATCTTCTTCAACCTTTGGCCCGCTGAAATCTGCTGATGGTCCGCAAAAAATGTCCCACTAATCGTGTCAGGGCTATAGTGTACATTAAACGGATACATTTAATTAAGGTTACTGGACCACTTCATGTCTCAGAAACAACGCTCCGGACAGACATATCAGATCGTCTAATCTCTAGGCAGCAGCATTGTTGTATTTGCTATTTAAAAATTTTTTAATTTTATAATATAATATTTATTAAATAAAATAGTATGCACATTTGTATTTGTTTCTGCCTTAACTATCAGCCGGCTTGTAAAACATTAGTCCTATTCTTTGATCTGCAGTTCTAAAAAGTCTGAAACAGAATAGACGTTCACCATTGGTTCCATGCTGCATAGGTAACGGGGCAACTTTCACTAGATAAACAATATTCCTGGTTACTATTTCAACAGTCTTTTAACCAGGGAGCGTTACAATTTTGCCGGATCATAGATGAATGGTGCCTGTTTGAATCACATCCCTTACTTAATGGATGACGTTTTTTTGTTTTTGTTTTGACCATATTAAAATCATTATTTAATTGTACGCAAGCATATAGGTAAATATGTTTATAGATAATAGTTAATTAAAGGGGTCAATATAGGGTGAACATTCTTTTAAATTCATGTGACGTTTTAATAGAAAAGTGTAATAAGTGGATGGTTATGTTGTCTCTTTCCCAGACATAATGGTCATCGTTGACGGGGGGCCACTAATTGCCACTTTACTGCTGCTGCTACTACTGGCTTCCCCAGTGGAGGGTTGTGGACCTGGAAGAGGCTCGGGAAGGCGACGGCGACCCCGGAAACTCACGCCCTTGGTGTTTAAACAACACGTGCCGAACGTGAGCGAGTATACCTTAGGAGCTAGTGGACTCGCTGAGGCGCCAATCAAACGTGGAGACGCCAAGTTCAAGGACCTCGTTCGTAACAATAACCCGGATATTGTGTTTAAGGATGAGGAAGGAACTGGTGCTGACAGGATTATGTCGCAGGTAAGGTACCTGGTAAGATCGGGTGTAGCCCGGATACTTGTACCCTATCAAGAGTGCTGGAAGTAAAGGTGGCCAAATGTCCAGCACATCTCTTATCAAGAGCCAAAAGTCTTTACAATTTAAGATCTTGCTCTATATCCTGGGAAGTCGCTGTGGTGTAACAGCTAGACGTTCGCCTGCGGATCAGAAGGTCGCGGGTTCAAATCTGCATCTTGCTGAATTTGTTTCATAACTTTAGCTCCCAGGCCAACCAAGCCTTAAACTGGTACTAAGTAAAACCCCTGGAAGTAAAGGCGGTCGGCTTGATCTTGACTACATCGCCCATCGAGGGTAATATTGATCTATACAAACATGGGTCTAGCCTTGTATGCCATATGCTCCACAGGCGTGTGAAGGAGCTTTCACATCTGGAACTCTATCGTAGATGCATCAAAGATGCGCTGTTATTTACTTACCTTTCCCTAGCAAGCATGTCGTAAAAGACCACTAGGCGTAGAAGTGAGGACAGCTTTGAATAGCCTATACTGCTACAAACAAACGGCGTTCACTTTTGCTGATGCAACGCCGATATTCGTGACTGGCCGTTTGTGCCAACAATAAGGTACACTTCTAACTTAGGACAGTAAGTGGTGGCACATCTGGCAGCTGTCTTATGCACATTTACTTTGTGTGTGCTAGCTGCGTAATGTGTAGGACGAACCTTTTGGATGGATGGATGGATGGATGGATGGATAGATGGATGGATGGATGGATGGATGGATGGATGGATGGATGGATGGATGGATGGATGGATGGATGGATGGATGGATGGATGGATGGATGGATGGATGTATGGATGGATGGATGGATGGATGGATGGAACGAACGAACGAACGAACAAACTTTATTTTCAAAGGGTTAAGAATTGGGCACGCAGGCCCGTCTAACATTCTGCCCCTCCACTCTGCTCCTTTCATACAATGTTTCATTTTTACCTCATTTCATAGTTAATAGTAATAATAATAATTGATAATAATAATAATTAATAAAAAGAGGAATGCACAATTAAAAATTTGAGAAATATAGAAAAGAAACAAAAGAACAAAAAAGAGAAGAAGGGAAAAAAAAAAAAAATCTAAGTCTTAATTACAAATGCTGGAATGTGCTCTAATTTATACTGACATTACTTGAACGTTTGAAATATAATATAATAATAATAAGCCTATTCAAAAAATGTAAGTCTTACAGGTTGCATAATATAAACATCATCAAAACCAATTAAATATTAGTTACAAATATTGGAATGCATTCGACTGACATCTTCAGTTTTAACAATAATAAGCTTCAATTTTCAACCTTCACATCTTCAGTTTTAACAATAATAAGCTTCAGTTTTCAACCACCACCAAGTTCCCCAACCCCCCCCCCCCCTCCCCCCCCCCAACCGTTAATAAGAAATACATCAAAGCCTTAACATACTATAATCTTTTTAGGGGGGCATATAGTCTGTAGTGAAATAATAATCAAATAGTTTCCGATTGTATCTAAAGGGGTTATTGATATTTTTTATTTCCGGTGGAAGATTATTCCACAGCTGAGCTGCAGAGTACGCTAAACTTGTTTTATATAGGTCTATTCTAGGTTTAGAGATATGCAATATGTTAAGGCGTTTGCTATGTCTTCCATTGTATTTAAATAATGGCCAAAGGTAACATGGAACATTTTTAGATATGATTTTCTTAATAAGTTTAGCTTTATTGAATAGTAGGCGTTCCCGGAGCGGTAATAGCATGAGTTCTTTATATAGGTGTGAACAGTCACTTTCATGACTATTAGCTATTAAACGAACAGCCTTTCTGTGCAGTGCTTTCAGTCGTTTGATGACTGAATTTGCACATCCATCCCATATTGTGGAGCAATAGTCTATGTGGGTCTGAATATGAGAAGTATAGAATAATTTCCTAGAGTTTTCAATCAGAAAGTTTTTAATTTTTGCTAGTTGGTATACCTTTGTAACAGTTTGCTTAACAAGTGTTTGCACATGGGAGTTGAAGGTAAGATTTCCATCGATGATCAGACCTAAAGTTTTGTGCTCAGTTACACTTTCTACTGGTGTGTTACCTAGGTAGAGTTGAAGGGTTCTATGAGAGTTTAAAGTGCACAGTTTTTGTCTTGTTGTTATTAACATAGATTTTGTCTTACTTATGTTGATTTGCATGCGGTTTGCATAGCTCCAACTAACTACATTGTTTAATTCTTGTTGCAAAGACAACTCTAGTATATTACAAGTTTGAGCATTTGAATGGATGGTACAGTCATCCGCGAATAAATCGCACGACGACGACAGACTTAAGGGCAGATCGTTTATGTAAATTGCAAATAGAAGGGGGCCAAGAATAGAACCCTGAGGAACTCCAGAATTTAAAGTAGTAGTCTGTGATATAGATTTATTATGTGAAATAACTTGTTTTCTGTTTAATAAAAAAAGATGTTAGCATTGTTAATAGGTTGGAACTCACTTTCATTGTTACCAGCTTTCGGATAAGAATAGTGTGGTCTATCATGTCAAAGGCCTTTTTAAAGTCTATAAACACTGCACCACATATCTTATCTTCGTTAATATTCTGATGCCAGTTTTCTATCATATTTGTTAAGGCAGTATGACAAGAATATTTTTGGTCGAAACCCTGACTGGTTGTCAACAATAAGTTCATTTTGATCTAAATGTTGGAGTATTGTTTTGTGAATGTGCTTTTCTAGTGGTTTTGATAGGGATGATAATAGAGAGAGATAGGTCTATAGCTACTGGGAATACTACTGTCTAATGATCTAGATTTTATATGAGGATAGACTTTGGCAATTTTAAAGACTGGAGGAAAGTAACCCTTGGCGATGCACTGGTTGTAAATGTAGGTTAATGACGTGCAGATAACTGATGCAGTAAAACGAATGGATAGATAGATAGATAGATAGATAGATAGATAGATAGATAGATAGATAGATAGATAGATAGATAGATAGATAGACAGACAGACAGACAGACAGACAGACAGACAGACAGACAGACAGACAGACAGACAGACAGACAGACAGACAGACAGACAGACAGACAGACAGACAGACAGACAGACAGACAGACAGACAGACAGACAGACAGACAGACAGACAGACAGACAGGCAGGCAGGCAGGCAGGCAGGCAGGCAGGCAGGCAGGCAGGACAGACAGACAGACAGACAGACAACAGACAGACAGACAGACAGACAGACAGACAGACAGACAGACAGACAGACAGACAGACAGACAGACAGATAGATTAGATAGATAGATAGATAGATAGATAGACAGACAGACAGACAGACAGACAGACAGACAGACAGACAGACAGACAGACAGACAGACAGACAGACAGACAGACAGACAGACAGACAGACAGACAGACAGACAGACAGACAGACAGACAGACAGACAGACAGACAGACAGACAGACAGACAGGCAGGCAGGCAGGCAGGCAGGCAGGCAGGCAGGCAGGCAGACAGACAGACAGACAGACAGACAGACAGACAGACAACAGACAGACAGAGAGACAGACAGACAGAGAGACAGACAGACAGACAGACAGACAGACAGACAGACAGACAGACAGACAGACAGACAGACAGACAGACAGACAGACAGACAGATTAGATAGATAGATAGATAGATAGATAGATAGATAGATAGATAGATAGATAGATAGATAGATAGATAGATAGATAGATAGATAGATAGATAGATAGATAGATAGATAGATAGATAGATAGATAGATAGATAGATAGATAGATAGATAGATAGATAGATAGATAGATAGATAGATAGATAGATCGATCGATCGATCGATCGATCGATCGATCGATCGATCGATCGATCGATAGATAGATAGATAGATAGATAGATAGATAGATAGATAGATAGATAGATAGATAGATAGATAGATAGATAGATAGATAGATAGATAGATAGATAGATAGATAGATAGATAGATAGATAGATAGATAGATAGATAGATAGATAGATAGATAGATAGATAGATAGATAGATAGATAGATAGATAGATAGATAGATAGATAGATAGATAGATAGATAGATAGATAGATAAAAAAGCTAACAGTGAACTAGACAGATACCCACGAACAGAAAAATACAAATACCCCGACAAACCGAGAGCTAGCAACCAAGCGGACCTAACCTCATAGCCACTCCATCATCAGCTGGGGAAACGCTGCTTCAGTAGTTGCCCAATTCCACAAATTCCCAAGTCGGTCTGTGGCTGCCGCTGTCAACAAACGGGGTCTTGTTTGATTTGTGCTGGATTAGGACACCCAGACCACTCCAAGCCTGTCGTCTGCGCGGACGGTGTTTCCCCATACAACAAATAAATCAATACGCCCCAGACGTGTTGTGTAAACTTCGGCTCTATCTTTCTAAGTTTCCCAACATTCCCCAAAATTAATATTATATTTTAACCGTGGACATGAGTGGCTGGTCGAGTAGCTAGGAGGCTGGGCGAAAGACCTGAGTTCAAGTCTTCAATAAAGTGTTGACATTTGTTCCCCCCCCCCCCCCATACCGGACTACAGGTCACTTGGTAACGGTTGTCTAAAACACCAATATGGCTATACGACTGAACTGGGTTAGTGGGATTTGTACCTGTGTGATTCTCATTCTTGAGCAGTTAATCCCTGAGGATGCAATCCTGCAGTGGAGAAAACCATACATAATGCGTTTCCTGTCTGGAGGCACACAAAAACAAACACAAAATCCTGGAGACACACAGTCCGTGGCGACAGCACTAGCCATGTGGTCTTAAAACCTCAGGCTCAAAGCACCCTCTTCCGCGACACCGCCTCGGTCCATACAGCAAAAAGTGGTACATATGTGCAGTAATGTACGTACTGGCAGATACGTGTTGGTATCATGTAGGTACTGGCAGAGACGTGTTGGTATCATGGAGGTACTGGCAGAGACGTGTTGGTATCATGTAGGTACTGGCAGAGACGTGTTGGTATCATGTAGGTACTGACAGAGATGTGTGGGTATAATGTAGGTACTGACAGAGACGTGTGGGTATAATGTAGGTACTGGCAGAGACGTGTGGGTATGATGTAGGTTCTGGCAGAGACGTGTGGGAAAAATGTAGGTACTGGCAGAGAGTGTTGGTATAATGTAAATACTGGCAGAGACGTGTGGGAATAATGTAGGTACTGGCACAGACGTGTGGGTATAATATTGGTACTGGCAGAGACGTGTGGGTATCATGTAGGTACTGGCAGAGACGTGTGGGTATCATGTAGGTACTGGCAGAGACGTGTGGGTATCATGTAGGTACTGGCAGAGAAGTGTGGGTATAATGTTGGTACTGACAGAGACGTGTGGGTATCATGTAGGTACTGGCAGAGACGTGTGGGTATAATGTTGGTACTGACAGAGACGTTTGGGTATCATGTAGGTACTGGCAGAGACGTGTGGGTATAATGTTGGTACTGGCAGAGACGTGTGGGTATCCTGTATTTACTGACAGAGACGTGTTGGTATAATGTAGGTATTGGCAGAGACGTGTGGGTATCATGTAGGTACTGGCAGAAACGTGTGGGTATAATGTTGGTACTGGCAGAGACGTGTGGGTATCATGTAGGTACTAGCAGAGACGTGTGCGTATAATGTAGGTACTGGCAGAGACGTGTGGGTATCAAGTAGGCACTGGCAGAGACGTGTGGGTATTATGTAGGTACTGACAGAGACGTGTGGGTATAATGTAGGTATTGGCAGAGACGCGTGGGTATAATGTAGGTACTGGCAGAGACGTGTGGGTATCATGAAGGTACTGGCAGAGACGTGTGGGTATAATGTAGGTACTGACAGAGACGTGTGGGTATAATGTAGGTATTGGCAGAGACGCGTGGGTATAATGTAGGTACTGGCAGAGACGTGTGGGTATCATGAAGGTACTGGCAGAGACGTGTGGGTATAATGTAGGTATTGGCAGAGACGCGTGGGTATAATGTAGGTACTGGCAGAGACGTGTGGGTATAATGTAGGTACTGACAGAGACGTGTGGGTATAATGTAGGTACTGGCAGAGACGCGTGGGTATAATGTAGGTACTGGCAGAGACGTGTGGGTATCATGTAGGTACTGGCAGAGACGTGTGGGTATCATGTAGGCACTAGCAGAGACGTGTGGGTATCATGAAGGTACTGGCAGAGACGTGTGGGTATAATGTAGGTATTGGCAGAGACGTGTGGGTATAATGTAGGTACTGGCAGAGACGTGTGGGTATCATGTAGGTACTAGCAGAGACGTGTGGGTATAATGTAGGTACTGGCAGAGACGTGTGGGTATCAAGTAGGCACTGGCAGAGACGTGTGGGTATAATGTAGGTACTGACAGAGACGTGAGGGTATAATGTAGGTATTGGCAGAGACGTGTGGGTATCATGAAGGTACTGGCAGAGACGTGTGGGTATCATGAAGGTACTGGCAGAGACGTGTGGGTATAATGTAGGTACTGACAGAGACGTGAGGGTATAATGTAGGTATTGGCAGAGACGTGTGGGTATCATGAAGGTACTGGCAGAGACGTGTGAGTATCATGAAGGTACTGGCAGAGACGTGTGGGTATCATGAAGGTACTGGCAGAGACGTGTGGGTATCATGAAGGTACTGGCAGAGACGTGTGGGTATCATGAAGGTACTGGCAGAGACGTGTGGGTATAATGTAGGTACTGGCAGAGACGTGTGGGTATCCTGTAGGTACTGGCAGAGACGTGTGGGTATAATGTAGGTACTGGCAGAGACGTGTGGGTATCATGAAGGTACTGGCAGAGACGTGTGGGTATCATGTAGGTACTGGCAGAGACGTGTGGGTATCATGAAGGTACTGGCAGAGACGTGTGGGTATAATGTAGGTACTGGCAGAGACGTGTGGGTATAATGTAGGTACTGGCAGAGACGTGTGGGTATCATGTAGGTACTGGCAGAGACGTGTGGGTATCATGCGCTAGTTCAATCTGTTTATAGACCAGCCAGCACTCAATGCATTATGCGATCAATTTGTAAAAGTCGGTAACTCCCCAACAAGCATGTCGTACGAGTCGACTAACTGGTAGTTTTCTTTGAAGTCAGAGTACATCTGCCTGAAAAGTAAGGAACCGACAAACTGCATGAGGATCAGCCAGATCTGTAAAAGATGTGGACCGACAAGCAGAACTTTCTGCCGCTAGAGGCGAAGAAGAAGAAAAAGATTTTCACACATTTTTTTAAATCATGAAAATAGGATGCTAATGATGACGTCATTCTATCGATAAGAGACGACATTTTGACAGTTGCACTCCAGCACTGTCTCCACGTGGATGCTTGCCGCGGATCGGAAGGTCTTGGGTTCGATCCCTGGAGGAGCTGCACTTTTTTTTAAAAATGACCCAGGCTTGAAAAAAAATAAAAATATATGTCTAGCCCTATATGCCCTATACGTCTAAAGGCGTGGAAAAGGGTCCTTTGCCTTACCTTTTTACTGTCTCCAAGTAAACAGTCCAACTATTAACTGATTACCCAGTTTGCCAAATAAAAAAGTTAAAGGTATTCACCAGACTCTTCAAGAAACAAAAATGGCATCAAAAGACAGCAGTAGAACACAACACACTTAGACGCCCAAAACTGTTCTCGGCACCATCTACACCCCCCCCCCCCCCCCCCCCCCCCCCCATGAGATACATAAAGTGAACATCCACAAACGATCTATTTTTGAAACACATATTTAACTTCGTCTCGCTTATCTCTCGGCCGACAAATGACAGCGGACATAAATTTCACCGAGTCCAAATATCGCCTCCGATAACATTCGGATCGGCCCGCTTCTAAGATAACCTCGGCACATAGTTAACACGTAGGTTAGATTTACGAGATCAGAAAGTGAATGGAGGGCTGTGTAAGTTGTCCTTCTTGTCTGTCATGTCGCACCTCCTATTATTTAATATATTTTTTTTCAGTCTGTTTTCTGTCTTCTTCTTTTTGTTTTTAATATTGCAGATAGTTAAGTCGTCAGTCAAATTTACCAGCGAAGTCTCAACGAATCACGTTGATTGCTACAAGTAGCAATAATTTATGCTTCTCTCTTACAATCCGATCTTTCTCATTTTGTCTGTCCGCATCTTCTTATATTATTTCACTGTCTATCTTTTCTCTGTCTATTCCTTAGTTTGCGTCTCTTTCAGTTTCCTCCTCATCCTCTTCCTCTTCTCTTCTTCTTCTATTCTATTTTCTCACAAAGAAGAAGAAGAAGAAGAAGAAGAAGAAGAAGAAGAAGAAGAAGAAGAAGAAGAAGAAGAAGAAGAAGAAGAAGAAGAAGAAGAAGAAGAAGAAGAAGAAGAAGAAGAAGAAGAAGAAGAAGAAGAAGAAGAAGAAGAAGAAGAAGAGGATGAAAAAGAAGAAGAAGAAGAAGAAGAAGAAGAAAATGCCAGTATAAAAAACATTGCACTCTGTATGTTTAAGTGATGTTTAAAGAAAGGCCATAAAATAAAGACATGTTAGTGTTATGAACAAACGAACGAACGAACAAACAAACTTTATTTTCAAAGGGTTACAAATTTTGTCATATTTTAGCTATTTATAACAAGAAGATCAATTAACAAGCCCAACAATGTGTTTTTGATGTCTCGGGGATGTGAATTTTTCAGAAGAATCCTTGGAATTCTTGAGTTCGAAGACAGCTTATCCCAAACATCAGAAGGAGACAGTCATCATTTGTTGGTCATGTTATGAGACGAAGGAAATTGGAACATGTTGGAATTACTAGGCAGATCTGTGGAAAGCGAAACAGTGGAAAACAAAGCGAGAAGATTTTTGACAGCGTGTGGTCACGGCTTGGAGGGGAGCCGCCATTTAAACACGTTACTGAAGATCGCAGATCGTGGATAGACATGATCACTCACGACAGACGACAAGGCACGTGATGATAATGTTGATGGCAGCAAGACAGTTGTGACTATTTGTAAGCTCCTGTTCCCACAACTCAACAGCAGCAATGGTGGCCGGTGTTCACAGTACTCTCTATAGCCAACTTTCCCGAGACTTCACTGCCGGGGGAGGAGTGGGGGGGGGGGACCCACTGCCCTAACAAGCATCTCATAAAAGGGACTAATTAGCAGTTAGCCTAAAATCGTAGGCGTTGGGCCAAAATGCACTGATATCGCAGCCTAGCTGTAAAATACAACACAGTGTACCCCTTTGAGCAGAAGCAAACTACTATATATTCCTGGTGTATCTGTGTATCTGTTTGTGTTGCAGCGTTGCAAAGACAAGTTGAACTCTCTAGCCATATCTGTCCTGAACCAATGGCCAGGGGTCAAGCTTCGAGTGACCGAGGCCTGGGATGAAGACGGGATGCACGCTGAGAGCTCACTGCATTACGAGGGCAGGGCCGTGGACATCACAACCTCGGACAGGTTAGCCGCCACTTTCATTCTCATGGCTCTGATCTCATTCACTCTCATGGCGCTGAACTCATTCATTCTCATGGCGCTGAACTCATTCATTCTCATGGCGCTGACTTTATTTATTCTCATGGCACTGAACTCATTCATTCTCATGGCGCTGAACTCATTCATTCTCATGGCGCTGAACTCATTCATTCTCATGGCGCTGAACTCATTCATTTTCATGGCGCTGATTTCATTCATTTTCACGGCGCTGATTTCATTCATTCTCATGGCACTGAATTCATTCATTCTCATGGCGCTGATTTCATTCATTCTCATAGCACTGAACTCATTCATTCTCATGGCGCTGATTTCATTCATTCTCATGGCGCTGAACTCATTCATTGTCATGGCACTGAACTCGTTCATTCTCATGGCGCTAAACTCATTCATTCTCATGGCGCTAAACTCATTCATTCTCATCGAGCTGGTCTCAATAATTTTCATGGCGCTGAACTCATTCATTGTCATGGCGCTGATCTCATTCATTCACATGGCGCTGAACTCATATATTCGCATGGCGCTGAAATCATTCATTCTCGTGGCGCTGATCTCATTCATTCTCGTGGCGCTGAACTCATTCATTCTCATAGCCCTGATCTCATATATTCACATTGCGCTAAACTCATTCATTCTATTATCTCTCTTTTACCGCCATTGATTTATTTGCTCCACCCTCTTCCCCCTCCCTCAAATAATTGGTTGTGGATTAATTAATTACGGACATAATGGTAATAGAAAGTCAAAAGAAGAGTTTAAGTTTGAAAAACAGAAAAACAGAAGTTAAAGTCACGACAAAGAAAAAGATCCTCTGAATTGCAGCATCAAAGTAAATAGGCCAGTCCTCAGGCTAGTTGGAACGTTTAGTTCCTGGGTTCCCTGATAACATCAGATACAAGATATATAAGAGAAGTTAAACTATAATAGCTTCAGCAAAAGCAGGCATTTTACAAAATGAAGAATGTTTCGTACTATCTTTCTTTGTCATTTGAGACGAAAATGAAAATTATTAAAGACTACATAAATCCTATCCTGATATCCTGAAATGAATCATGGACATTTGGTCGTTTAGTACCAAAAAAAAAATATTGGAAGCTGCAGGAAATTTGGATTTATAGATGAGAGATGAGAATACCCTCGAAAGATAAAAAGAGTAATGAAGATGTCTTGTAGGAAACTGACTCACGAAGAGAATGATAGCCCACGTGAAAAGGAGACAATCTACATTATTTGGACATGCCATGAGAAGGAGACAATCTACATTCTTTGGACATGTCACGAGAAGGAGACAATCTACATTATTTGGACATGTCATGAAAAGGAGACAATCTACATTCTTTAGATATGTCATAAGAAGGAGACAATCTACATTCTTTGGTCATGTCACAAGAAGGAGACAATCTACATTCTTTGGTCATGTCACAAGAAGGAGACAATCTACATTCTTTAGACATGTCATGAGAAGGAGACAATCTACATTCTTTAGACATGTCATGAGAAGGAGACAATCTACATTCTTTGGACATGCCATGAGAAGGAGACAATCTACATTCTTTGGACATGTTATGAGAAGGAGACAATCTACATTCTTTGGACATGTCATGAGAAGGAGACAATCTACATTCTTTGGACATGTCCTGAGAAGGAGACAATCTACATTCTTTAGACATGTCATAAGAAGGAGACAATCTACATTCTTTGGACATGTCACGAGAAGGAGACAATCTACATTATTTGGACATATCATGAGAAGGAGACAATCTACATTCTCTGGACATGTTATGAGAAGGAGACAATCTACATTCTTTAGACATGTCATAAGAAGGAGACAATCTACATTCTTTGGACATGTCATGAAAAGGAGACGATCTACATTCTTTGGACATGTCATGAGAAGGAAACAATCTACATTCTTTAGATATGTCATAAGAAGGAGACAATCTACATTCTTTGGACATGTTATGAGAAGGAGACAATCTACATTCTTTAGATATGTCATGAGAAGGAGACAATCTACATTCTTTTGACATGTTATGAGAAGAAGACAATCTACATTCTTTAGATATGTCATGAGAAGGAGACAATCTACATTCTTTAGATATGTCATGAGAAGAAGACAATCTACATTCTTTAGATATGTCATGAGAAGGAGACAATCTACATTCTTTGGACATGTTATGAGAAGGAGACAATCTACATTCTTTAGATATGTCATGAGAAGGAGACAATCTACATTCTTTAGATATGTCATGAGAAGGAGACAATCTACATTCTTTAGATATGTCATGAGAAGAAGACAATCTACATTATTTGGACATGTTATGAGAAGGAGACAATCTACATTCTTTAGACATGTCATGAGAAGGAGACAATCTACATTCTTTAGACATGTCATGAGAAGGAGACAATCTACATTCTTTGGACATGTCATGAGAAGGAGACAATCTACATTCTTTGGACATGTCATGAGAAGGAGACATTCTACATTCTTTGGACATGTCATGAGAAGGAGACAATCTACATTCTTTAGACATGTCATGAGAAGGAGACAATCTACATTCTTTGGACATGTCATGAGAAGGAGACAATCTACATTCTTTGGACATGTCATGAGAAGGAGACAATCTACATTCTTTGGACATGTCATGAGAAGGAGACAATCTACATTCTTTAGACATGTCATGAGAAGGAGACAATCTACATTCTTTGGACATGTCATGAGAAGGAGACAATCTACATTCTTTAGACATGTCATGAGAAGGAGACAATCTACATTCTTTGGACATGTCATGAGAAGGAGACAATCTACATTCTTTGGAAATGTCATGAGAAGGAGAAACAGGAGTACACCATGACGGTAGGAAAGTTAAGAGGTGAGAGGTGGGTGGGGAGAGGCAGAGGAAGACCGAGAGAGAGAGAGAAAATGCGGGACAGTTTGACCTTATTTCATGGAAGGATCATCTGTGTCAGAACTGTTTTAAAGTACACGAGACAGAAGGTTGTGGATAGACATGACCACCTTCGCCAGCACGTCATGGACTATAGGAGAAAGAAGATACATTAATATCTTCGTTCAAAGGGCAACGAATGAGCGGACCAACTGGCAAGTACGTCACTAATACATGCAGCCAGAAGCAGAGATAGAGCTGATATCTTTAGTGTTGTATGTCCTTCAGTGTTGTATGATCTTCATTGTTGTATGACCTTCAGTGTTTTATGACCTTCAGTGTTGTATGACCTTCAGTGTTTATGACCTTCAGTGTTGTATGACCTTCAGTGTTGTATGACCTTCAGTGTTATATGACCTTCAGTGTTGTATGACCTTCAGTGTTGTATGACCTTCAGTGTTGTGTTGTATGACCTTCAGTGTTGTATGACTTTCAGTGTTTTATGACCTTCAGTGTTGTATGACCTTCAGTGTTTTATGACCTTCAGTGTTGTATGACCTTCAGTGTTGTATGACCTTCAGTGTTGTGTTATATGACCTTCAGTGTTGTATGACCTTCAGTATTGTATAGCCTTTAGTGTTATATGACCTTCAGTGTTGTATAACCTTCAGTGTTGTATGACCTTCGGTGTTGTATGACCTTTAGTGTTGTGTTTATGACCTTCAGTGTTGTATGACCTTCAGTGTTGTATGATTTTCAGTGTTGTATGACCTTCAGTGTTGTGTTTTATGACCTTTAGTGTTGTATGACCTTCAGTGTTGTATGACCTTCAATGTTGTATGACCTTCAGTGTTGTATGACCTTCAGTGTTGTATGACCTTCAATGTTGTGTTGTATGACCTTCAGTGTTGTATGACCTTCAGTGTTGTATGACCCCCAGTGTTGTATACCTTCAGTGTTGTATGACCGAGGCTTGTGGATAAATCGGAATCTCTGACTCTAAAACAATCTTGTGATTGCTGGGCGTTGGCAATCTTTCGGACTGCCAATTCTTGAGGTGGGTGCCAATGAACAGGCAGACAGACTGGCTGGATCCGCACCACTGGGTGGTGAACTGATACATGTCAAGGCAGATGTAGCCAAGGCCCTTGGGGGGAAAGCAATGGAATCAATAGAGAAACAAGATTGTTATGGCCTGGAGAGAATGAGGTACCTGGGTGTAACCAGAGAGTGTGGCCGGCTCACTACATTCAGAGGAAAGGCAAGACAGACATTTACCCACATCGTGACCGGTACCATCAGTATTGGAACTCTGCGCTGGCTGCTGAAGATGAGGACGGAGTATGCATGTGAATGCCCCGAGTGCTGTGATGTCAATTCTTGACTCAACTCAACTCAACTCCATCAGAATGTTTTCTTTTGTAGTCTTATCGATGTCGGGATCATATCTAATCCAACATCTTTGGTCTCTTCGGGTTTCTTTTAGACGTCATTGTTTCTTTGGGTCATTTGTTTTCTATTTCAGTATCTGTTTAGTGATTCTCTGTCCGCCTTGTTTCACAGTGTCTGAAATATCGCACAGTCTTTGTCTTTAAACTGTTGATAGTAGCAGATGTCCATACGATTCTCTTACTTTTTTGTCCTTGTTGATTTCATTCCCTTTAAACACAGTAATAATACAATACGTAAAATATTAATCATTAATAAACAATGCGAAAATCTAAACACTCCATTAGACACACAAACAATGAGCTTTTCACTTCAAAGAAAACAAATAAGCTTCAGAAGAAATGGATGTATTAGGAAGTCGGATAAGTCATAGGCAAAAGAGAAAAATTCAAACTGACAAAGAAGAATATAATAAGATAATTAAAGCGATAAATGATTTACCCCGCCCACACCCACTCCCCTTCCCCCCTTTTCCAATATAATAAATGCAAAAGACAATTGGCTGAGCGAGCAGAACAATAAACTGTAACCGTATTCACTTTATTATCATGCACAAAAGTAATCGGCAGTTTGACAGGCAGAAGAGTGAGATTTAAACAAACGGAGTTTTAAATGAAGGACATAAACTGTGTTTATCGAAGAACATGCTATGACAAAGAGATCCTCATGAATTCTTTTTGTTGTTGTTCCTAAACGGCGTGATTAGGAATAGTTTGCAAACCACGGCTTGATGGGTAGCTATGGCTGTTGTCATTCAGTGTCAATGGAAAAGATCTTTAATGCCATCAGTCTATATTCTCCTAAGACGAACTGTAACTTTCCCAAAGACCGTTTGCTTTATACCGCCTGTGTTGGTAGTTTTGGCTGCATTCTTACTATATGACCAAACCAGCTGATCTTCTGTTTTTCAATGAATTTCTTGCATGATATTGTTTCCACAGTCTGTCTGATAATATCATTTCTCACTCTGACCCGTATGGTTAAGTTGGCGGCTTCTGCTAGGGCATCTTGTTTCACAGGTGTTAGCCTTAGATACTGTTAAGGTTTAGTACTGGTATCACAGTGTAAGTATGAATATGTTTATAATCTATATGTTTTGTGGTCAGACACGTGTTTGGATGTCTTAATAACGACATAAGTTTGTTACATGAGTGCACTGGCTCGTTGGCATCTTGTTTCTATTTTCCCTCCCTTCGAGAACATACTTGCTAGATGTTTAAATTCTATAACTTGCTTGAAACATGTACCATTCAACCCTATGTGTAGCGGACTATGACTTTTATACTTCTACTTCTTCTTCACTTCCTCTTTTACCGCTGTGGGTGTCGAGAGAGATATAAGGTTCTGTTTCTGGCTCTTCTGGCCGCCTCGACCACAGGCGCATCGTGCTGTTGTAGAGTTTCTCTGATGTTATCCTTCCATCTTGTTCTTGGTCTACCTCTTGCTCTACGACCTTCTTCTCTTTCCATGTATGCTTTGTATGGTATGGTGTCACAAGGCATTCTCTCTAAGTGGCCAAACCATTTCACTTGCGACTTTTACACTGACCTGCATTGTTTCCATGTTAGTCGTATTTATTTGCACATCTTTTACATGTTGAACTTGACTTGATCAGATGATCTTCTTGTCTACTCCTCTCTCTGTCGAACAGGCATAGTTCGTCTCCGAATAGTAGCTTGTTTATTGTCTTCTTCTTCTTCTGCCTTTCTATTCCCCAATGGAACATAGGCCCTCAACCAACTCACGCCAAGTCGTTCTATCCTTCGCCATTGCATGGAGCTCTCCCTATGTCCTCCTCAACAATCCGGACTCCTTACGGCTTTCTCCACACCGTGTCCTACTTCCTCTATTTGAAGAGCCTCCCCTCATCTTGGTTGGCTAGGTTTTATTTGCTTCTCTTTTTGAATGAATAAATTACACAGTTTATTAAAAAAAAAATAAAGAAGAATTAGAGAACGAATGTAACTTAGAAGGTATGCTTGTAGTAAATTTCGAATTCGATAACGCGATAAAACTTATAAAGAAAGGAACAAAATGACTGCACCTGGTGACATCAAAGTAGAGAATTTAGAAATACTTGTAGAATTTGCATTATAAATGTTAATGAAACTTTAGATTAATGTTTGGAAAAGTACGTAGTGAAATGCTGAAAAAATGTATTGATAGCTTTTGCTAAAGAGTCTAAGAGCAATCAAGTACGAACCATTTTTTTTACATCAAGTCATGTCACGTTGCTCTCACCTCATTCAAATAGGAGCCGTCTCCACAATAAAGGTTACCTTTATTGGATCGCCAACACACTTTGTCTCTTGTCTTGGCGGTATACTCTCTGAGACTGCTCTTTGTCTATCAGCTGATGTTGTCCAACCACTTGTATCGCTGCCTACCCATTGCTCTATTGTCTTCATCTCTTTCCTGCAATATGGTTTTAAAAAGAATGGCATGCTTTACTGTTTCTGAAATACTTCAACTGACTCCCTTTTTTTCTTCCTTCCTACCAGCAACTCTCTTGTCATTCCCAAACTCTACAGAAGCTCGGTGTTCGACTGGTTTTGCTTCCACTTAAACTAATCACGAATAGAACAAGAAGCTGATTTGGTTTGATTTGATCTGATTCAAAAACCGAAATCACAGCCCTCGGGGCATTCCCATAAGCGCTCCGACCCCATCTTCAGCAGCCAGCGAAGAGTTCCGATACTAATGGTGCCAGTATCATTCTGATTAAATGTCCGTGTTGCCTTTCCTCGGAGCCTCGAGCATCTGCCAGAACCTCTCGTCACTCCCCCCTGAATCAATCTCACCACACCGTGGTGATCAATCTGCTCCTCCCAACTGTACACGCTCTCCACGCCTTATCATATATCAGTATTCCATCAAGTTGTGCAGAGCTTGAACAAGAAGTAAAAAGCAATAAGACGTTGTAAAGAATATTTTTGAAAACTAAAGGAAAGAATAATCCAAAAATAATTCGGACACAGACACGCACACACTGCGCCATATTAGATAAGTCTGAAGTTTTTGATAAATCAATGATGAACTGATGAAAAAGTTGGAAGACGTTTAAACTTGAATTTCAGCAGGAAAAAGAAACAAACATGTACCGGAAGTAATTACTTGGAAGTTAATTATTTTTGTGTGAATAATTACAATTAATAAAGTGGAAAATTATTAACAAGCGATACACAAAAGCGCCATGATTATCGACCGATCGGTTTGTCCACTCCCAGCAGCTACCTACACGTTTACTATACCAATCTGGGGTTCGAACAACAACCTAGAACGGGACTGCAGACCAACTAGGTAGATCCCAGATACAAGGTCCAGCCTCCAAAGAAGTTATAATTAGGGCACACGTATCAGCTACAGCAGCACATGTGTCACCGGAAGTCCTGTGTGGGTAAGGACAAGTGTGTGAATAGCGCGTTCCCCTGAAGTGTCCAAGCTCGTTGGTTCCAATCCAGACGGAAAACATACATTTGATTTAGGTAAAAAAAAAACTATTAAAAAAAAAACAAACTATATAACATGCATACTTTGTTTCCCGGATAATAAGACTACACTAAAAGTACACCCTAGCATGATTGTCGGGATGCTTATAAATTAATATAAGCCCTACTGATAGAGAAAAAAACCCTGGTTAAGATCGTCAAGCGAGCCGCCGTGAAGAAGTTCAGACAGTTCAGCTCCTGACGCAGCTGGTGTTTTTTTTTGTTTTCAAAAATGAAATTGGCTCCCAGGTCGACCCAGCCTTAAATGGGCACCGGGTAAAGTCCTGGGAAGTAAAGGCGGCTGGCGTGATGGTGACCACATCACCCACCGAGTGCTGATTGGTTTTTTTAATATGCATACAGCACAATACGCCCCAAGGTATGGAAACAAATCTGTTTCACTTTAAAATCAACAGCTAGAGTGAGAAACTCATGCTGGAATTCAGGATTAGGAGAATATTGACGATGTTCAAAAGAAAATTACATGACTGTATTTGAATACATGTAGAATTTTTGCCATCGTTTTTCATCATTCAACCTGTTGCTTATGCCACAAGCTTCACCGAGAGGATGTAGATGTCATTTCCTGTCGTTTGCTTGCTAGTTGCGAAGCTTGCGTTAACGTCATATCGTGTTTCTGTAGTGTGTCTTTTACTTCCTCCTCCCACCTCTTTCTAGTTGACCTCTTGAGCTGTAGCTGCTGGCTGATTTTCTTCTCTCTGACCAGATGAGCAAACCATTTGATTCTTTGATATCCTGTAAAATCATTCATCTGTACGGTGCCTACAATTATTCTGAGTTTTTCATTATTGACTGGGTCTCTTAGTAAAGAAATACGATTTGCAGAATTGTGGTATCTTGTAGATGAAATAATATAGACTTTGTATCTTAAAGTAAAGTATCTCTGAAAGTAATAAAATAGTGAATTTTTTGAAGCAAAAATTATTAAAAGACCATGTCTTAACTTCATAAAGTAAAGTAAAAAGTAAAGATCCCTTTTCACGCCTTTAGGCGCATCGGGCATATGGGAAGCGCACCCATATTTTTATAGAAGACCAATCGGCACCCCCGGCATTACGCCGGCCGTTTTTACTTCCCCAGGACTGCCATCCTAGTACCCATTTGAGGCTGGGTCGACCTGCGACGCCCCATACCACGATAAAAATCCACGCAGTCCGCAGTGTGTTTCTATCGCGGTACGTTGGATTATGAGTCGGACTCGCAACGCCTTAGCCACGGACGCCGTTCTTAACTTCATGGAAACACAATATCTACATCTGCATTATCTTAAACCAATCTCTTGTTTTCTCGCAGGGATCGCTCCAAGTATGGCATGTTGGCGCGACTGGCAGTGGAGGCAGGCTTTGACTGGGTGTATTACGAGTCCAGGGGTCACATCCACTGCTCCGTGAAGTCAGGTATTACAGTTAGTTCTTCTTGTTGCTGACACAACCGTTCCTGATATAATTACCACTCGTTTATCTTATCGATACTGTTGCTGTGTTATGTAATGCTGCTGTTACAACTGTGATGACTACTAATGTTACAACTGTGATGACTACTAATGTTACAACTGTGATGACTACTAATGTTACAACTGTGATGACTACTAATGTTACAACTGTGATGACTACTAATGTTACAACTGTGATGACGACTAATGTTACAACTGTGATGACTACTAATGTTACAACTGTGATGACTACTAATGTTACAACTGTGATGACTACTAATGTTACAACTGTGATGACTACTAATGTTTCTGCATACACGATTTTGAGTAAATGAATCTTCCAAGTATAATTGTGTTCGTGTGTATAATATTTTTTTGTTAATATACTGCGGCTGCTGTTACAGCAAGAACACTGTTACTACTACAACCTTCACCACCACCGCACAACAAAAACTACTTCTACTACTACTACTTCTACTAACTCTACTACTACTAACTCTACTACTACTACTACTACTAAATACTATACTACTATACTATAATACTTTACTTTACTACTACTGCTGCTGCAAAGAACAGTTACTACTACTACTACTACTAAAAAATACTTACTACACTCTACTAAAAAAAAAAAATAAACTACTACTACTCACTACTACTGCTACTAGGAAAGACTGACTGTGTGATCACTTGAGCAAGATTATATGCGCGCGACAGATATGTGAGTTTCACCTAGCTGGTCGGAGCTTTTGAAATGGTGTAAGGGTGTTACGAGGTAGGGGAAGGCACACCGGTGAAGGGTTGGATCATCCTGTTCGTAAACGACAATCATATATTCACCAATTCAATCAAATGGCTAAACAATGTTCACAGAAGCGATCACCAGAAGAAGAAAAATGTCATTAGATTTTGATAAGGCAGTCATACCACAGACTTAATGTAACACTGTGGACTCTTTTACGGACAATTAATCGTAAGTTCGATAAGACTTGTAAATGCAGGACGTTGCAAACTTTCCATTCCATTGTTTTCCCCTTGTCAACCACGTGTCCAGTTTTTTCCTCAAGAAAATGTAGCCATGTTATCTTGAGGCCAGATCATTTCTAATTACATTAATTATTGTATTTCGCAAATGAGAAACTGAAAATATTTCAGAATAACTATCTAAAATGCTTTCTGGGCTCCGTGAGAATTAGCTTCCGTTTCCGCCATTCCTGAAGTTACCGGAAACAAAAATCAGGTCACGTGAACAGACTAGGGGCAGTCTAATTAAGTAGGCGGAAGTTGCTTGATCAGAAAAAGCAACCTCATTAGGGATTATTAGAACCTTTTCTAGAGAGACTGAGATTGTTTTTGTGTTGTTTGTCTGTTCGTGGATACAGAACCACCCAGGGTGGTAACAGACAGCCATTATTGTTGGATGGAATACACTAAAGAACTCATATTTATGTGTTAATGTGGAGTGGAAACACAAGCGCAAAGAAACATCTCATACAAAGCGTATTGATTCCAGCCCTGTGCTTCCAGTGCCAGACATGGTCACTCACAACAAAACAGAACAGATAATTAGTAATCATGTAGATAATATGTCTGAGAAAGGCTGCAGGAGTGACCAGAAGTGATAAAATTAGGACTGTGTTCATACGAGAAAAGGTTGGCACACACCCATTTCTAAATCAAATACAAAGACAGCAAATCAAATGGTATTGCTCGCTTAGAGAAAATACACTGTGACGGTGTAGCATGAAGGGCATAAATCAAAAGAGGGGATTGACGTAGAGTACGAGGTTCACCAAGAACAGTATGGAAAGATAACATCAGAGAAACTCTACAACAGCACGCTGTGTGTCTATGGTCGAGACGACCAGAAGAATAAGGGGAAAAAAAAACAGGCACAAAGCCAAAGAACAAATGAACGAAGAAGAAGAAGAAGAAGAAGAAGAAGAAGAAGAAGAAGAAGAAGAAGAAGAAGAAGAAGAAGAAGAAGAAGAAGAAGAAGAAGAAGAAGAAGAAGAAGAAGAAGAAGAAGAAGAAGAAAAAGAAGAAGAAGAAAAAGAAGAAGAAGATAAAGAAGAAGAAGAAAGAGAAAAAGAAGAAGTCTTCACTGGCTGTAAACTCTGAGGGAAAGTTATGATTGTTCGTCCATGTCTAGACTTTAGTCGTGCACAAGAGCCTAAGAATTGCGTGCACACCAGTTTTACAGATCTGACTTATTTGTATGCAGATTGTTAGGTTTCTTGCCTTTTAGGCAGATGCACTCCGACTTGGAATGAATTTCCCCGATAATTCGACCCTTACGAAATGCTTCCAATACAACATGACCCCGGACCCACTCAGGGGAGGAATTAACTCATCTTCTTTGCAAGTTACATACACAGAGTAATACTGGCAGAATTGTTGTCCGGTACACTTTTGGTTGTGATTGTAATTAATTATTTGTTAATATTATTCCTCAGATTCATCAATTGCTATAACATTCGGCGGGTGTTTCCCGCCAAACAGCGTCGTGATCGCCCAGCCAGGAAGACAAAAAGCCATGTCGCAGATACAGATTGGTGACAGTGTTTTGTCAATATGCCAAGATGGCGGTTTTTGCTATAGTGACGTGATCGCCTTTCTGGACAGGGACCAGGAGAAAGTACTGAAGTACTACAAGCTAACCACCCAGTCGGGAAACAGTATTACATTAACCGCTAAACATTTACTTTATGCCACAAACTTAAACAGTAAACTGGTGTCTGGTTCAAACTATGAGCATCATCTGTTGCTTCAATTTCTGCGATTACCTCAGTTAATTTTTGCCGAAGACGTCAGAATCGGCCATTTCATCTTTTTGGCTAAAAAGTAACCTCACATATGTACAGAATATACCGGACTTTGTACAGCAAACGACTACATCAAATTCGTCCAACTTTCTTTCATTGACGAACTCAGCAGTTCAAGCAGATGACACTCGGCTGACAGACTTTATACCAGAAAAAATTGTCTCTATTCAGACTCGGTTCATCAGGGGTGTGTATGCACCGCTGACATTCGAAGGCACAATTGTTGTTGATAAGGTAGCCACATCTTGCTACGCCTTTGTGGATCACCACTTGTCGCATGCAGTGTTCACGCCTTTGAGAGGATACCACGTGATAAAAACTCTGTTCCGTGATTGGTTGGGATATTTTGTGCAATATGTTGATTGGTTAGGTACTGTTTCATGTTTTCATGACAGAAAAAACGAAACAATTTTTGAACAAAGTGAACAAGGAGTACACTGGTATGCTAAATTGATGTATAAATTTGCTGTAAATATTTGTGGAATGAACATATACATATCGTTATGAAAGTAATCAGTTACGGAATGCCATTTAATTTGTTACTCGTCAGAAATGTCAATGTGTTAATGTTTGTTTTTCACCCGTGATTACAACACTGAGGTAATGACTCGTGCATCATTACTGATTTGATTCAAAAACCGACATCACAGCAATCGGGGCATTCCCATAAGCGCCCGGCTCCATCTTCAGTAGCCAACATGGAGTTCCAGTACCAATGGAGCCAGTAGCATGGAACGTTCTACGCATCATTATGAGAACCTGATTAGGTGAACGAGGGTGCATGTCGCTCGGTTCTTTTCTAGCGTAGCGCAAAAGTATTGTTGAGAGACCAGTCCTCTGCCCAAGAGCGCAGGTACCTGGGTGCTCGGGCACATCCTCCTCCCACACACATAAACACAATCTTAACTTTGTATCAGCTACAGCCACGACCCTGCCTATGTCCATAAAATCAACGCGGCTGTGCCTGTTACCTTCTAGAATATTTTGTAGTGTGTTCTCAGCTTGTTGCCAAGCGTGTCCGATAATTTTCAGGCTGAGAACAATCATCATTAAATGCCTTGTCAGCTGTCGAGGGCAATCATGCTTCACCACAATCTGCGATCCGCAACTGCGTGTATCAGTGCCTTGACACAATCCTGCCAAGAATCTTCTCTCGCTGTCTCCCTCTGTCTCTCCTTAAACTTAATGTCCAGTGGTCACAACATGTTTCATTTTTCCTTACGACGTGACCAGAACATGATGACTGTCTCTTTCTGATGTTTGTGATAAGTTGTCTTTGAGCATTCACCTCTTTCAAAACATCTGGGTTGCTCTTCTTAGCTGTCACAGAAAAACCGAGGCCTCAAGATATTGTTCGGCTTGTTGATTAATTGTCCAGGCTTCCAGCCCTATGTTAAAACTGGGTCTGTCTAGTATGCGAGAATTCTACCTCCATTTACATTGATTGACTGCACAAAATGTTCTTCACGTGGTAAAATTCAGTTTTGAACTGTCCTATTCTATTCTTTATCTCTGTGATACAGCTTCCATTGGATGTTATCCATGTGCCTAGATACTTAAATTTATGTACTTGTCCCAAAATAACGCCTTTGACTATTATTATACATTTAGGCACTATTCTATTCTTGGAAATCACCATTACCTCTGTTTTCCAATTATTCCAACGGAGGTTGATTGTATCAGTTTCTGCCACCACTGTGTCTATCAATTCCTATAGTTCTTTCTAAGTTGTCGCTATCAAGACGCTGTCATCAGCATGTCGCAGGTTGTTTATGTTATGCTCACCAAACACAATTCGTGGCATACCCATTATAGATCTCATTTTATATTCACTGTATAATGCAAACAAATCAGGTGATAGTAACTTCCTTGTTTGAAACCCCCTCTTTTTGCTCTAAGATGTTCCCAGCGGGTTATTAACTCTTAGAACTTCTGTTTGCTGCCAATACACGTTCTTTATAATTCGTAAATATTTCCCATCAATGTTTAACCTTTCCAGTAGTTTAATTATTTCTTTTTGCTTTTACACAATCAAATGCCTTCGTATTGTCAATGAAGTATAAGTAAAGGTGTGTGTTTTGTTTTTACCTCTATACCTCGCCCCGAAAAAGTTTTAGGATGTATATAACATTGTTTGTACCCTTTCTTTTTACAAATCCACATTGTTCTTCGCTAATTTCTGGTTTAATCTTGTTTCTTATTTTTCTCATAATTGTTTTCAGTAACTTTTTTTTGGGTCACATGACTCATAAGACTTATGGTGCGATGGTCTTCACATTTTAAAGTGCATTGTTCCTTTTGCAGAGCAATAAATATAGATTTTAACATAACATTAGGGATGTACCTACTATTAAAAATGTCATATCCCAAAATATCGCAAAGCTTCAATTGCTTCCAAAGGGATGTTGTCTGGCCCGGGTGACTTTCCTTTCTTCATGTGATGCAATGTATCCTCAACTTCTGAAGCCAATTTTGGTGGGGGGCCTTGACTGTTGTCCTGCAAATATACTTCTGGTCTATTATCATCATATAGATCCCCCGAAGTACTCTGTCCATCTTTTAATTATGTCAATTTGCCCCATTAATATTTCACCTTTCTCGATTTTAACCATCCAGTGATGTTACGTCTCTTGTTCTCTGTTAATATGCTTATCTGTTTGTGCATGGAATTTGAGTCTTTCCCGTCATTTTTCACAATCACTGTGCATATCCGATTCAGCTAGGTGTCTTTGGCCTCTTTGCATTTGTTCACTGGTTCTTTATTGTATACTAGAATATTCTTTTTAACCATTCTGTTTCTTTTTTCTTTCAACCACCATCTGCAGTATTCTATTTGCCATCCACATTTTTTTTGCAACTCTATGTATGGAAGGAACAGGCTCCTTGATGTATGCAATACCGAATCTATACAGCCCTTTATCACGTGTTGGTAACATCGGAATATCATTGGCAGCCGATATCGTTAGGGTCAGGATGAAAAACAAAACCTTTATATCCTGGACTTCAACGTCAACGCAGATATGAATGGGGAACAGAAAATTTTCGGGGACAAATGTCGCATCATGCATGAAGACAATGACCACCTGAGCCTTCGAGAGCCTATTGGCCTTATCTGTATATATGTGAGTGTGTTTGTGTCTGTGTGTGTGTGTGTGTGTATATATATATATATACTTACATACACACATCTCAGTGACCTACTCCCCCCCCCCCCCACTCAACCCTATTTTGACATGAAGTTCTTGTAGTCTTGTCAAGCTGCCTATTCACCGTTCTCTCCGGAATCACATACTCGTCCGGTCTCTCCGAGAGCATTGAGAACATCAGTCCAGTCCATTATTTTCCTGCGACAACAAGTCAACTAGTTCGTCCCTTCTTTTCTTGCACCCGTTTTCACACCTCCGATTGTACTGGACATTTACAGCTAGACCTATATTTTATAAACCAATGGGCAGTCGGTGAGTGATGTCAATGTTACACGGCCGCATTTACTTCCAAGGTTTGTACCCGGTATCTACTCAAGGTTGGGTCGACTTGAGAGCCAAGGCAATTTTTGCAAAGAAGTACAGCTCCGTCAGGACCCGAACCCACGACTTTCAGATCCACAAGCGAGCGTCTAGCCGTGGCATCAATGCGACTCCCTCTTACCCCTTGGTGTTATGTTAGTTGCGTATCCTTTACATGACGTTGCAGAACCAACCCCAACAGCACCTGGCTGCTGAGTGGTTTTTTTAGACAAATGTACGTCCAGTAGTTTGCCACTGCTTCTGGACGGTCGGCTTTCTTGATACCATTGGCGACACCAACGCAAGGCGCAAGGCCCACAGCTGGGATCGAACCCGGCATCCCGGCATTACGAAGCGTTCGCATCGACTTAGCTACAGAGCCGACACTTCTTAGTGTACTGGAATAAAAATATATGCTTTCTCATAGCTGTTCCCTACAACGTAGGGGAGTTAACCTGTAAGATATTTCACTTTTACACATTATTGTAGTTGTCTACCTATTAGCTAGTTAGTCGACAGATTATCATCACTGCACATCCATGCATTGGGAGTCGCCATGGCCGAGCGGCTAGAAGCTCGCCGCGGCCGGATGGTCGTGGCCGGACTTTTTTCAAAAATGACCTTGGCTCCCAGGTCGACCCAGCCATGAGTGGGTACCGGGTGCAGTCCCGGGAAAGTGAAGGCGGCCGGCGTGATACCGACCACATCACCCATTGTACGGCGATATTTGTCTCCATTACTGTACAGTGATATTATGTTCATAAATTAGGCGGTGAGGTGTAGTCCCGGGTCCATGCCGTACGAATTCGAAGTAAACTATTTCTAGGGGGTAACCAAGGACAAAGACCAACGACGGGCAGAAAAGTGCCCCAACAAAGTCAACCGTTGAAACTGCTACAAACACGTCGTTGACAGGCAAATCCAAGGCATTTATTGAACAATTTCCCCAGATACAATGGGTGTCAATGAAATGCATATATTACAGTCACTGTATTAAACGACGGTATAATAACTTTCCTCCAATCAGGAGCAATGAGCCTCAGCTCCCCGCAAACTGCGGCATCAAGTAGAAGAACTCCTTTTACCTCCAAGCCAGAGTACAGAGCCTAAGCTTCCCGCAAACTGCGGCATCAATTACGGATCCAGCTAAGCCTAGTTTCCAACCTCTGTCGTTAACACATTTCTTGCAACTGTCGTCTGTCTAAAATTTCTGTCGGCAAGTGACGTCGTGTCTCTCGTCATACCTCATGTTCATTATCGGTTGTCCATAGTGTGGATCTTCGGACTGCACACAACACCTATCTTGTGCCGATTGGTCTATAAAAATACAGGTCTATTCCTATATGCCCTATACGCCTTAAGGCGTGGAAAAGGGTCGTTTACTTTTTTTTTTTTACTTACATCGATGCATTTAGTCCATAAGTGCTTGGATCCCCTCCTCAGTAAATCCCGCTCACGTCACCAATTCTGTGTTTTGGTTCCTTATTCTTATTTGGCTTAATGCATAGTGCTCTTGTCTGGCCACACCCCTTTTAACATAGTGTTCTTGTCTGGCCACACACCTTTTAACATAGTGTTCTTGTCTGGCCACACCCCTTTTAACATAGTGTTCTTGTCTGGCCACACCCCTCTTAACATAGTGTTCTTGACTGGTCACACCCCTTTTAACATAGTGCTCTTGTCTGGCCACACCCCTTTTAACATAGTGTTCTTGTCTGGCCACACCCCTTTTAACATAATGTTCTTGTCTGGCCACACCCCTTTTAACATAGTGCTCTTGTCTGGCCACACCCCTTTTAACATAGTGCTCTTGTCTGGCCACACCCCTTTTAACATAGTGTTCTTGTCTGGCCACACCCCTTTTAACATAGTGTTCTTGTCTGGCCACACCCCTTTTAACATGTTGTTCTTGCAGTCTGGTCGTCATGTCTGCAGATTCATAGTCATCACTTGGGTCTCGCAAACGTCTTTCTTCTCGAAGAGCAATAACAATATCAGCCT